TTAATTTATAATTTTATATATATAAAAAAATAATCTGGCACTTCCAAAAAAAATTTCAAGTTCCGCCACTAAATGTCAATAAACTTATGGTCATAACAATTTATAAATAAAATTAATTAAAAATATAATTTTACTATTATAATTTATATAAAAATATCATATAAGCATTTATTATTTTCATTTTACATTTATCAATTATTACTTCAACAGATAATTTTATCAAATACTTATAATTTAACAAATATATTAACTTAATAGCTTTCACCTGCTAGCTATAAGCTTCCAACTACCAACTAGCTTTCTAGCTTTTCACTTGATTTTCCCAAACATAACCTTAGTGCAAACACATAGTTGGTCATAGTGAAATTGGATTGAAACCTTTTTTTGGAGTGACTTTTAGTTGAAACCAGTTTTTAGTTTTAATTATGTTTTAGTTTTCTTTCTATCTTTTAGTTTTTAAATAAATTTACTTTGAAAATTCATTATGCATTAAAATGAGTTTAAGAGTGTGATGAGCACTAAATGCAATGCTAATAGTGATAGTAGTATCATGATAGTAACAATAGTAACGATACAAGTAGTAGTATTAACAATGATATTGTTAATAGTAGTGTTTTTTTTTTTTTTTGAGAAATTGTTAATAGAAATGTTGAGGATGATAATATTGATGATAATATTAATAATAACGACAACAATATCTATGATGGTATTTGAGATGGTGGTGATGCCAATGGTGGAAGGGACATTAATGTTAGTGGTAGTATAGTGGTGGTGGTACTAATAATGATAGTGGTAATGTTGGTACTATTATATAGTGATAGGGAGAAGAATCATTTTCAAATGTAGTGAAAGTTAATTTTTCTTTTAAAACTAAAAACTAAAATTACAACAACAAAAAAAGTTGAAAAAGTGAATATATATATATATAAGTGTTTTGAAACTGATTTAAAAATTATCTTAGCTCCATTTTTTTCAAACATATTTTTAAAAAAAAAATATATTTACATACCAAAAATTAGGTTTAAATTTTGTGTATGAAAAAATTTATAAAAAAAATATGAGAAAAGAGACAATAAAGTCAACTAAATTTGAAGATAAAGATTAATTAAGATAAAGGCGATAAATATTTAACACCAATAATATATTAAAAACATAATGGAATGATATAATGCTATTAATAAAGTATAATGGTGGGATAGATAAAATTGAGTCATTGAATAACTAACATCAATTACCCAAAAAAAACAAAGATTAAAACTTTGTAAAAAGTTTAAATATATTTTTAGTCTTTATAAAATAAGTAAGTTTTTATTTTTTTTCTTTTAAGTCTTTTTTTTAATATTTATCTTTCTAAAATTTATAAACTTTATTTTAAAAAATAAATAAATAAACAGATTTTAATTTGATCCTTATAAAATATTTTTTTAATCTTTATTCTTCTAAAATTTAAAATTATTATTTTTCATTCATAACCGTCATTTTAAATAAATAAATAATATTTATTTTAAAAATATATATATATATCTTTTTTAGAAGTGTCATGGACATAATATCACATATAATTATATTATCACATATAATTATATTATGTATGTATCTTTTGGAATAGTCACATAATATTTTAATAAACATATAAATAATTAAAAATTATCACACAATAATAAAAGTTAAAAATAAAAATTTTAAATTTTAGAAGATGAAAAAAGTAAATAATTTTTTTTTGTTAGAACCAATATGAAAATTTATTTATTTTATGAAAATTAAAAACATATTTAAACATCGATAGAATTACATCATGCAACAATTTTAATTTCAATCTTTCATAAAATATTCAGTGATGCTCTTATATATTTTGGCACATTAAACAATAATAACAATAAACCCTAGGACCAGGACAACCCTCCACAATTTGAAGATCATTCTTGGTACAATTTGAAGGGCTTCTGGATGCTTGGATTTGATCAAGAGTACCGTACCCGAGGACATACGAAAGATGCATCTAAGTAAGATGAACAATTCACCATTTCGTCCAATATCATTATCCAAAGGGCAACCTCTTCCAATTTGATGAGCCGGGTATATGTGTGGACTCTAATTTTGGCGTTTACTAGTATTTGTTCAAATTCCAAATGTTTATTTAATCTATTTATTTATGGCAAGTATTCCCAACTTTATTCACTTTGACGAAGGTAAGCCCTAACACAAAAGAATTCCACAGTTAATTTAATGAAAGTTGGATGTAAATTACTACGCATTAAAAGATTCATTTTTTTTTTCTGTGGAATGGGAATATTAAAACGTTGCATTTGAACTGGAATCAATCTTCAATTATAGTCCCTGGAAAAGAATCCCTTGATGATGAAATTAAGAACTAGTTCAACATGTGCAAGCAAACTAAAGTCAAAACAAATCTCATATATTCACATGCAACAATTGCCATGCCTTTGAAATTTCATGAATCCTTGAATCCACGCCGTGATTACCGTTCATCATGTCTCTGAAGATATCCAAAATCCAAACGATTATCTTAAAAAAAACACACAAAGTCCACTTTGTGGGAGCGTTTTAAAGTTTCGGCAACTGGGGCCTCGTGTGAAGACTCAAGCATGGTTGTTGACAAAATTGAACTTGGCTTATAGAAAGGTCACAAGACCTTTTAAGAGACATGTAGAGTCGTTGGTTATATTATATTTTATGTTCTCTCGAAAGCGATAGGCTACGTAGTTTACTGTTTCAGTTTTCGTTCATTTGTCGAAAATTTGTCTGTTTTTAATAACGTGCCTACTTTATTGACCAGGAGCCCATAATGAGGAACAACTATAAAACCATGTCTTTGTCTTGCATCCTCAATTCAAGTGCCCTTTTGGTTGTTTGTGAGGATTACCCGGTACCAAAACTTGTGTCATCTTTTAAAGGGTCATTCGTTAATCAACCTCACAAAACTAATCAAGACACAAGTTGTGTTCAATTGGGGTACTAGTACTACAATGGGCAACACTTTTGGTGCAAAGAAGACCACAAAGGTGATGAAAATTGATGGTGAGACATTCAAGTTGAAGACCCCAGTGAAGGTTGGTGAAGTGCTTAAGGATCACCCTGGTCTTGTTTTGCTGGATTCTGAGGCTGTTAAGCACTATGGTATGAGAGCAAAGCCTTTGGAAGCACACAAGGAGTTGCAGCCAAAGAGGCTTTATTTTCTTGTGGAGCTTCCAAAGGAGACAAAGCCAAGAAGGGTTCGTTCTGGCATTAACATGAGTGCCAAAGATCGCCTAGAGAACCTAGTACTCTCTAGGAGATCTGCTTCTGATCTTTCAATCATGAAGCAAAGCAACATGGGTGGTGGAGAACAAGGGAATAGTAATATTAATAAGGAGAATAATAATAATAATGGTGGGGTTATGTTGAAAATGAGGCTTCCAAAGGCTGAGGTGGAGAAGTTGATCCAAGATAGCAAAGATGAGGCTGAGGCAGCTGAGAGGATCATGAAACTGTATATGGCCAATGGTAGCAGAGAGAGAGAGAATGGAACAAAGGAGAATGATGAAAAGATGGTGTTGTTGGACCAACAAATGCATTGCAAAGGTGGCAGAGTTAAGGAGAGTACTAAGGTATGTAACATTTGTTTTCATTGCATGGTTGTGGATTTTATTTTTTATTTTTTTATCTCTAAACATGAGTTTATTGTTAACTTGTCCTTCTTTGATGTTAATTATTAGATTCCTCTTTGGATTTATACAAACTTGTTCTTTTAAACCAGTCTAAAGAATTCATTGGAATTTTGGTAACAGAGTTACGTTGCATTGAATTGAACAATTGTGACGTATGAAAGATGTGGAAGTTTAAAATTTTCATGACTAGATTCCTCATTGTCCATGTTTTTCAAAAAATTTGATAGAATTCCATGGTAACGCAAACATCTTAGAGGAGATATTTAGCTTTCTTGTAGTCCCAAACGTTAGGGCATTTGAAGATTCAAAGGGAAGATATCAATTTCATGTTTATCACCTTCCGGGGACATTATGTTATCAAATTTGTTTTCTCCACGTAAAATATCTATTAGGCAATGATGTTCGAAATTTCCTGAGATGGAATATTTGAACGGATTAGTTTTCTCAGTGATTCATTATTTTCTTTTCTCTAAAACAAACTGTCTAAAGTTTTGCCTTCAGAACCTTCTAATCGATAATTTCGCCAAATTACAAAAACTGATAAACAAATGATTATGATTATGATTATGAACGACCAAGAAGGATCTCAAGCATAAATGGGGCCCGATCATTGTTTTTATTAAAGTAATAATATTATCTTGAACACCCCCTTTTTCAGAGGAAAATAAAATGACATTAAAAATTTGTATAAATATCATTTTTGCTGTTTTTTTAATTATAGCACGCAACAACCAAAAGATTTTAAGACATTAACATACGCATATTCATCATGTGAGCCCGTTGTGACCTTGCAATTTTCATATTTATAATGTGAAATTACTTACCCTGCCAACCGAACAACAGTATTGAGATCTGAAATATTAAATGCTCTGCATTTCAATCTGTTGGTTCTGCACAAGATATTGTTGCTCGAAGCTTGTATAATGCATATTGAGTTGAAAAAATTAGTGGTGCCTATGTGACTATTTTTTACAATATTGAATCTCAAAATTCTATTTGTAGAGACTAATTATTTTGCGTTGAATTCAAAACTCTTGCAGAAGAGGGTGAGCTTTATGCCAATCAATGAAGGAGGGATTCATGTTGCTGTGGCTTCATAACTACTTACATCACATTAACCATGAAGCAGAATATCTCACCAACCTAAGGAGCTTTTGTTACACATAGTTAAATAAGAGTCATGTTATTTATACAATACTTAGAATCTCAACTGGTTACAATTTCATAGGTGTTTGTATATTAGTTTCATAGAACAGAAGAATATTTAGTAAAAACTAGTTGCTCTTTTTGAGATGACACCTGCTGTGACTTGTAATTAGTTGTAAATCTATGTATTGTATAAATAGCATAACTTAAAAGCATGATCTGTAAATATTTCGGGGTATCTATAACCTCCTATAGAGATTATACATTATTAATGGATGACTTGATTTTAACTTCTAACTTTATCTTATGCTTCTCCAAGTTGTTTACTATTACCTAATAGTTTCGAAGCTTCAATTATAATTGGTAACCAAAAAAAATCAAGGAAAACATGGTAAATTACTAGTACATGATTCCTTAATTAGAAGTGAACAAGTAAATAGTTATGAATGTGTTTATATAGGTGGATGTTTAATCAACTATGATCGATTAACATATAGAAGACAGAAATTCGGATGCAGAGGAAGTGAACCTACACACGAGGGCACATTCTTTGATTGTATACTCATCAAGAATATGTCCTAATTGCCTTTCTAATAGGACTCACTGAGTGCTATGCTCAAGTTCATAGCCAATTATTCTTTTGGCTACATCTTATTCATTCTCTACTAGATCCGTTTCTAGCAAACTCTAGATTCTTGATTTTGAAGCTACTAGACATATTGCATGTTCTCTGGATCATTTTTACCTTTGGTCAAGATTCATTTGCTACTTTACCAAATAATTCTCAAGTTGCTTTCCATTTTTTAAGGCACCAATGTAAATCATAGTATTACTTTACACCATTGGTTTAGGAAATTCAATCAAGGAATTCGTTCATAGCAAATTATAACTAGTCTAAATCTTACCGTTATTTCCCAAGTTTTTTTTATCAGAAAAAAGGAAGTAAAATGTATATACATAAAAACCAAACCAAATACATGAGACCCCACAGTTAACTGCTATTTATACCATAGGCATAATATAAACAGGATTGTTCAAACTCAAAAGTTATTGGTAGAATTTAAGTGCTTTTTTAGTTTGAAAATAATCTAGAACCAAAGCTTTTATCTAAGGTTGGGAATAAAAATATGAACCGAATCAATTCATTTTATAGAAATGATTAAGTTAAACAAATCGTTTTGTTAAAGTAGATCAGATCAATTTTTTTTTTTTAAATTGGATTGAATTTTTTAATTAGATTAATTTGGTGTAATTCAACTACTCACTTTATATTCATATATCATTTATTTTTTTTATAAAATCAAATTAAATTGAATCAATTTATTTTATAAAAAATAATTTAAATAATTAAACTAGTTTTATAAAATAGATCAGTTCAATTTTTTTCTCAAAACCTATCAAATTCCTACTTTATCTATTTTAACAAAATTGCACACTTTGCTTCATTTTTTTGCGCATCCCAAGATAGATAGACGTTTAATTGGCAAGTTATAATAATACTTGACCATATCTCAGCTAGACATATGTTATGATGTAAAGAAAATAATCAATTCATCATGGTAGCCCCTAATCCATCATATCACATTATGTCCAAATTGTCCACTAAAGTCGAATATCAAGCTTTTGCAAGTGTTGCAAGCAAAGCTACTTAGCTAACAACCATTTTGAAAGAGTTTGAAGTTCGAAGTAAGTTGATTCTACATTAGTTTTTTTTGGCAACAATCAAGTTGTCTTCCACTTAGTTTAATTTCCAATCCTATGTTCAATGAAAGATCCAAGTACATTGAAATCAAATGCCATTTCTTTTTATATGAGAAAAGCTGTGCAGTGGCTTGATCTGCCTTAATTTTTCAAAGCAACAATTATTTGGTCGTGGTGAAAATTAATTATAACTATAAAAGCAAACCTTCTATCTGCATTGTTGAAGGCATTAATATCACAGTTATAATGTTGAAATATTTTTTTAAAAAAAATCATAAATTATGCTATACAAAGAAATATTGGATATGAAAGTATTATATAATGTGACTGAACAAACGGTGATAACGATCTAGCATCATGTTTGAAAATTACATGGTTGGACAATAATATATATATCAAAACAATGAGAACCCGTTTCAACATGAATGTGACCTCATGGTATAATGCAATTTATCACAAGGGTACTGCTATACAACGAGGATTCCCACACATATATTTGTTCTATATTTGTATGATATCATTTACTTTTAACTTAAGTTTTTATGGTTTTCTTCTTTTGATTATCTCTTAAAAGATCTCCCAATAATGAAGATATTTATTTTATGTATTTATAAACTTATATTCATTATCTAATTTTTTACTTTAATTATATCCTAACAAATAAACTCATATATCATGTTCAAAACCGTAAATCCTAAATGATTTTTTTTCAATTTTTTATGTTAAAAGATTTGATCGAGTGCAATTGATATGAAATGATCGAGTCACCTAAATTTGACCAATTTGCTGAGAAAACTCATTATGTGCAAATGTTACATTGGCCCAGAATCTAAGTTGTAGGCTACCTAATATTTTTAAAGCAAATTCCATTTTTTTTTATAAGAAAAAAAAAAGGTGAGGAAGATATAAAGATATGACAATAAAGGTTGTTATTAATTAACTTGGTTTTTAAAAGCTTTTACCTAACAAATTAAACCGTCTGAAATATTTCTGATGTTTTCAATCCTTTAAGAACAAAGAAACATATGTTTTTCTTCCTTTTAATCAAACTATTACAGTTTTTTGTTTTGGATGGAGAACTTTGGGGTGAAGGGATTGTTGTCCTAATCCAAGGCCAAGGAAAGCCCTTAAGTTAAGCAGTACTCAAAATAGAATATCCTTGAATTAGAACTCAAGTTTTGTGTGTTTGCCATGGAAAAAAATGATTAAACAAGCCAACTTCTCTTGACTGCACTATAGGTTTTTGTTTCTGAAAAAGTTATTACTATGATTGAAGTTAATTGAAGGTTGACTAAGTACTACCGCTTTAAAATTATTATATTTGTCCTATTATTGTTATTAGTTATTTATTTATTTATGTTATGCTTGGTTTTCAAGTTGCTGGTGTCATTCTCTTTAAGAAATTGTAACATAATTGCTGATTCATTAACTAAGCCTGCTAAAAATACTATAACCACCGGTTTTGAAGGCTACATTTCATATATTGTATCTCTACTTTTGTAGTGTGAGAACCACCTTTTAATATTTAAGAAAATGTAAAACTTTAGTTTAACCTAACATTAAATCTTTTTTTTTATATCTGGAAGTATAATTTACTTTCACTAAGTTAGTCTATTTTAAGGGTAACATGATAACTTGATAAGTTGTGATTTTATGTATAAGTCAAAGATCAAATTTTAGTCATTGATTAAGAAGTACATGTAAATCTTAACGCTAAATCTAGATCATGCAAATTCTGGTATTTTTGCATGCAATTCTTGTGTATCTTTTCTGAAAATTGGCTTTCTGATGATACAATCCAAAGCTTTTTGATTTTACTATATATATCATCTCATTTTCTGCCTAGACAAAAACAAATTAAAAAAAAATCCTAAAAATATAGTCCAAAAAGTACGAATTCATGTGCAAGTCAATTTAGTAAGCTCTCAGAACGTGGCCTGCACATGTAAAAAAGTCGAGGATCTCTTATCAAGTAAATTTCCTCTAACTTTCCCATCCAAGCATGTGCAAAAAAGTGCACAACCATTGAATTCTAGGAAACATTCAAGCTTCCGTCAGCAGAAGGAATTGAATGCTATATCATTCAAAGAACGCCATCTTAGCCTCAATCAAAAGGCACGCTAATAAGTAATATCCATCCACTAAGCTCAAAATGTACCGTTAGTTTTAGTTTATATTAAAAAATTGACATATTAACAAGTCGATGATTCAAACAGTATGGAATTCAGTCTCACTGAATAAGTTCTTGAATTTGAATATTATATATAAAAAAATGTGATAAGAAAGAAATCCTACCAAAAGTAATCAGTTAAGTTCTCAACGGAGTTTTAAACATCAAAATTCATTCACTAAAAAAAGTATTTACATAATTCTTCTAATTAAAGATATGCTCCGTTCAAAATGAGATGGAAAAAAATGAAGTATCAGCCAGAAGAACAAATTGAGAAGAAAACCAACACATCATGTCCAATTTTTGAACAGTTTTATATATTCGTTGTTAATTTACTTTAAAGTACATTATCGTCTTAATTTATTGCTACTTCAGGTCTTTTCTATAATTATAACATTTTTTTTATAAAAGGGATTAGAAAAATTGCATTCATGATTCATTCACTTGCTTTTATTTTCAGTTTAAACTCACTTTAAAAACACTATTCTCCAACTTCAAGATCAATTTGTTCAAAATTCAAACATATGGATAACACAAGTTTCCTAATCTGCCTCGTGTTCTAACAGTATATACCTGCGATAATTTATAAAAGGAAAAGGTAGTTTAGCAAGATGTGGCTCAATTCAGTCAAAACTTTAAAAATTAAACTTTTTAAATAAGTATAACTTAAACCTCAATATTTCTAATTTATTAGTTCAAGATCCAATTTAATATGTACAACTATTTTTAATAACAGTAATAACAATGCCTCTCCCTCATTAACTTCATTGTTATTGGCCTCACCAAAGCCAGTTTAATTGCCATTTTACCTAATATTTTACATTAAACGTGTATTCTAATTTACAAAGAAACGTAAAAGGGCTCCAAAGAATTCAACTTATCCCATTTTGATTTGAAGGCAAACTGATATGGCAAATAAATAGTTAGCAGTAATCATTATGAACATAATAAAATATTCATTTATCAGATTATTGTAATATTCTCATTTAGAACAATAGATTTTAGAAGAAAAAAAAAGAAAAAAAAAAAGGGGGGGGGGGGCCAAAAAGGAAAGAAAAGGAGTAAAGTACAAGAAAGGTGTATTCCCAAAACATCCGAGAAGTATCCAATATGGATACATGGCTAACATGTACATTTGATCACTGCCTCTGCCATTGGGAAAAGAATATATAATTATACAATTTCAGGATGACCATTGATCAGGTACAGTGAGAAAGTAGGTAGTCATGGCCTTCCTGAATCTTTTCTTGTATTGTTTAGGAGAAACTATTGTGGGGGCAGCATTTTTTGGACCCCCAAGTATCCCAGATGCCTTCACCCATGTCTCTAAATGCTTGTCCCATGTGTATTGTCTCATGAAATCAATGATGCCCAACACAAGCTCCTTGCGCTCATCATCCACCCCAACAAGTAAAGAATAGTCCATAA